AGTCAGTCAGTCAGTCAGTCAGTCAGTCAGTCAGTCAGTCAGTGAGGCAGGCAGTCGGTGTTTCCTCCGCGGGAAGCGCATCCCGGCTGCGCCCGACATGACATGCTCAAGTCCAGAGGGGTGTGCAGCTTCCCTTCCCAGTGCGCCGTCTCGGCGCCTCCTCCTCCTCCTCCTCCTCCTCCTCCTCCTCCTCCTCCTCCTCCTCCACCCTCCTCCTCCTCCTCCTCCTCCTCCTCCTCCTCCTCCTCCTCCTCCTCCTCCTCCTCCTCCGCCAGTGCGCCGTCCGGGCGCGGCGCTTTTGTCCGTCCGCCACCGCGCGGAGGGGCTCCCCCGCGCTGCGCCGGGCGCACCGCGGCCCCCGGGCACGGGGGCCGGCCCTCCGTGGGTGGCCCCCTTGGGCGCTGGAGGTGCATGGGCAATGCCTCCCTCCCTCCGCCTCCCCCCCCGCCTCCTCCTCCTCCTCCCTCCTCCTCCCCTCCTCCTCCTCCCTCCTCCTCCTCCTCCTCCTCCTCCTCCTCTCCTCCTCCTCCTCCTCCTCCTCCTCCTCCTCCTCCTCCTCCTCCTCCTCCTCCTCCTCCTCCTCCTCCCTCCGTCGTCGTCTCTCCCTCCCTCCGCCTCCCCCCGATTGCCCGCAGCCAGTCTTCACACCCTGCCTCTGCTTCCCTCGTCCTCCTCCTCTCCTCGCCTCCTCCCCCCGAGTTCCCTCAGCCAGTCTTCGCACCCTGCCTCTGCTTCCCTCGTCCTCCTCCTCTCCTCGCCTCCTCCCCCTCGATGTCCCGCAGCCGGTCTTCCGCGCTCCTCCGCTCCTGCATCGTCTTCCTCCCCCTCCGCTTCTCCCTCGTCGCCCCCCCTCCCCCCCAAACCACACCCGCTGGTAGGTTCGCGGGGGGCGGTGATGGGGTTCGCTCTGGCGCCGGTGCCCCCCCCTTGTGGAGCGGCGCCGAGGGCGGTGTGTGGTGGTGGGCGGGGCTTGCGGAATTCGCGACAGGCGAGAAAGTGCCTAAGCCCAGGGAGATGTTCCCACATTGTGCTCCTCTCCAGTCGGCCCAGATCAGTAGGTCGACCCTGCCAAATCAAGGGTACCCTTGTGCCCTGTGTCTCGCGACCCGTGCTTCCTACATTCCTGTGGCGATGCGGCCCTCGGAAGGGTCTTGTGCCCTCTCGCGTGTCCTGTCCAGTCAAGGCCGACTGCAGGCTTGCGGGTGCCCGAGCCAGGGCTGGGCCTCTCAGGGTCGGCGGGCTGAGCGCGTCCACTCCTCGCCCAGCTGCTGACACTGGTGCGGAACCAGGAGGAGGAGGAGGAGGAGGAGGAGGAGGAGGAGGAGGAGGAGGAGGAGGAGGAGGGGGGTTGCCCTCCTGCGGACTTCCATGTGCCCCGAACGGTGGGGACCTGGGGGAGCGCAGGGGGGGTACGCAGAGGTACGTGGTCGCGTGTCCGAGTCGGCGAGGTTCGCAGGACCGAGTTCCTCACCACGCGGCCATCCAGAGAGATTCGCACAGCGAGGTTCGCGAACGTCAAGATAGTGAAGAGCACGAACAAAAAAAACGGGAAAAGGAAAGGGGGGGGTAAAGGAAAAACAACACACAACCACGCAAGGATGATTCGATGATTTTCGCAGGGGGGCGAGTCGCCCCCGAACCCGAGGGAATCGCTATCCAGCTACCTGCGGCAAATCCGCCACAGTGCCAGCGACGCTGTGTGGCGAACCTTCGGGCACCGCCCGGCGGGACGTCGCTTGTGATTTGTACTTCTCTTCCATGCTTGGGAAGTTCTCATGGGGCTTGTTTGGGCCGTCTTGTGGCCTCTCCGGGTCGTATTGGAAGCCTTGTGGTGACTGTTATGTCACTATTGCATCTTGTGCTGAAATTGATGTATTTGTATGGTTCTTGATCCACTTTATCGTCCTACATCAGAGGTTCTGCACATTTCTGATCACCAGATTCGCCTTCGGGAGGTTGGAAGGGGCGAGGCACGCAAGGAAGCGTGTCGAGAAGCAGGGCCCCTTAGAAGACATGCAGAAGCCCTACCAGACAGCGCTCGGTGGCATTCAAGCACGCATTAAACAAACAAAGAAAGCCACACAAAAAAAAACGCCAGGGGGCACGGTTGCGGATGTATGGTTTCTTGTTGATGTGTTGATGTGTTGGTATATTATGATGTCTTGACGCATCTTGTTTCGATGCTCTGGCGGCTTGATGTCTTGCTGCGTTGACTGTTTGATGCCTTGATGTCGTGGCGGCTCGATGTGATCGTGCCCTGTTGTTGCGATCCCACGGGGCACGCCGGAGGGCGCCCGCACTCTCCCTGCGCCCTTGCCCCACGACGGCCCCTTCGGCATGGGGCCTGGCTGCCATGCCCTTCCCGCCCACTCTGGATGGAACAGCGGGGGCTGCTTCCAGCGATCGCGCTGCTCATCCTCGTGCTGGTGGTGGTGCTGCGGATCCCTCGCCGGACGGCGACGGCTCCTGCTCGCCCCCCGCGGGAGACGCACATCGCAGGGCCTGCGGGAGGCGCCGGTGAGCGTCCGGCCAGCACTGGCGGGCGGGGCCGCGCGTGGGTCGTGGCCGGGCGGCCAGACCGCGGCCTGCCCGGCAGGCCGCCGCGGCTCCCGCGGCGTCTCGGGCCAGGGCGGAAGCGCTGGCGGCCGAGGCGGATGGCCACGAGGACTCTCCTTGACGAGCGAGCAACACACACCCACACCCATAGGCCCATAGTTAGGGGGGTCGTTGGGAGGAGGACTGGCTATGGGTATGGGTGCGGGTTGTCGGACCCTGGGGAACGCTCCCGTTCGAGCGGGGACCCCCATCCGACAACACGCACCCATGGCCCTCTCCGACCCCTCTATGGGTATGGGTGTATGTTGTTGGTTCGTCATTCCTGTCCGTCGGAGGAGGACCACAGACCGATGACGCTGTTCGCCCTCGAGGGCCCGCCTCGCCACGGCTGGACTGTCCCTGAAGTTTTGGTCAGGACGCCTCCCGGGAGACGTCTGGAGAGTATACGGTTGGTTCGCGTCGTGCCGGCGCGGCGGCGACCTCACGGCGCGGGCGTTCTCCGGTTTGAGCGCCGTCAGCTGCCCACAAGCGGCCGAGAGCGAACGCTCTGCGCTGTCGGAATTCCGCGATCGCTCAATAGGGGAACAAAAAGTCACATAAACATAAAAACTCGGGGGTCCGCGCGCGTGCTCCCGCTGCCTCCGGACTGCTCGGCCTCTGGCCCCCCCTTTGGCGGACCCCCCTTCTTTTGTTGCCGCTGGCTGGCGCCCCGCCCAGTTCGTCGAGCTCACCTCGTCCCGTGGTGTGGCGAGGGCAGCTCGGGGGTCCCGGCCGGGGGGGCCATCCCCCACCCGACGTCTCCAGGGCTCGCACGGCAGGCAGGCCGCACGTGTCCGAGGTCGCAGCCTCGAGCAGACACTCGCTCGGCGTATAGCTCGATTGCAGCCCGACGCACCGCTCCGCCGCCGCTGGGCCTCCGCCTCGTGCTCCTCCTCGTGAGCTTGTTCCCCCCCCCTCCTCCCCCCTCCTGCCCGTGCCGCTCGTGGTCCTTCTCCTCCAGGGCCTTCTTTCGACCCGACCGATCCGATGCGAGATCGACTGCTGCTGCTTAGCCCGAGCTGGCTCGACGCCGACACTCCGACCATCCGACGCGGCCCGATGCTCGCAGGTCGCCGCGGTGCATCCAGGCGCGGCCGCTCCGGTCCGACCTCGGCTTCGTGCCGATGCTACCCGATTCGGCGCCTGTCTCCATGCCGTGCGATTTTTCCCGATTCGATGTTGGCTTCCCCTCTCCCCTCACCTCCCCCTCCTTCCTCTCCCTTCCCTTCCCCCTCCTCCTTCCCTTCCCCCTCCTTCCCTCCCTTCCCTTCCCCCTCCCTTCCCCCTCATTCCTCTCCCCTCCCCTCCCCCTCCGTCCTCTCCCTTCCTCGCCTCTCCCGTCCTCTACCTCTCCTCCTTGCTCTTCCCTGCCTCGCCGTCATACCTGTTCTCTCCCCGGCCAGGCTTGCCCGAGGGGGTCGGATTTGTTTATGAAGAGCTGGTGGGTGTCAGGCCTCTACCTTCCTCTACCTCTCCCTTCCTCTACCTCTCCTTTCTCTTCCCTTCCTCTCCGTCATACCTGTTCTTTCCCCGGCCAGGCTTGCCCGAGGGGGTCGGATTTGTTTGTGAAGAGCTGGTGGGTGTCAGGCCTGCGCCGGTTGGCCTTCCCCAGGGTTGCCCGGCTGCCCAGTTGCCCAGTTGCCCGGCTTTCCTCGGGTTGCCCGGCCTTTTTTGGGGTATTCCCCGATTACTTGGTTGCCCGGTTGCCCATGCCCAGTTGCCCAGTTGTCCACTTGCCTGGGGTAGCCCGGGTTGCACGGTTGCCCAGTTGCCCAGCTGCTCGGTTGCTTGGGTTGCCCAGTTGTCTTTTGCCGAGCAATGCAATCCAAAGCAATACAATGCAGGGCCAAGCAATGCCAACAAAGCAAAGCAAATCAATGCCAAGCAATGTAAATCCATGCAAAACAATGCAAAGCAATGCCAGGCAATATCAGGCAAAGCAACGCAATGCAAAGCAACGCAACGCCAAGGCCCAAAACCAAGCCTTGTTAAGCAAGGCTAAGCAACGCAACGCAATGCCAAGCAATGCCAGACAGTGCCAAGCAATGCCAAGCAATAACAAACAATGCAAAGCAATACTAGACAATGCCAGGCGAGGGCCAAGCAATGCAAAGCAACGTAAGGCCAAGTAAAGCAAAGCAAACTAGTGCCACGCAAGGCAATACCAAGCAAGGCAAAGCAACGCCTGGCAATGCTGTGCAATTCCAGGCGATGCCAAGCAATGCGGGGCAGCGCAATGCAAGGCAAAGCAACGCCAAGGAAAGCGAGGCAGTGCCAAGCAGCCCAAAGCGATGCAACATGTAGACGAGGGTCGGACGGCTGTCCGCAGAGGTGGTCGTTCCTTCGTGACCCCTCCTCCTTCCCTGATTCGCCATCCGTCGGAAGGAGATCGACCACGTCTTCGTGCGCATGGACAGCCGGAAGGTGGGGGGCGCGGGCCCGCGCCGGGGTGTCTCGGGCGCGCCGGACAGTCTGATCAAGTACAGTCGGGGCCCTGAAGAAGGAACCCTTTTCGTTGGGGAGGGGCTCCGCGTTCCGTAAGGGTTTCGCAGCCTGCCTCAGGTGTTCCTCCTGTCTTCGATCGGAAATCGAAGTTTAGCTTATGGAAGAAAGGGGCCTCGTTCTTTATCTTGGGTTCCTTAGGTCAACGCCCCGACTGTACCACAGGTCGGACGGGGGAGAAGGGAGGCTAGGGAGGTCCGCCTCCTGCTCCTCCTCCTCCTCCTCCTCCTCCTCTTCCTCCTCGTCCTCCTCCTCCTCCCTATCTTCCTGTGGTAGTGGTGGTGTTCCTTACTTTGGGCTCCTTAGGTCAAGGCCCCGACGGTGCGAGGGGCCTCCCCTCCGCCCGCATGCAGGGGAGGGGGCCCGTCGAGACCGCGGCGGCCCCCTTTGGGAGGCTTCTCTCGCCGCCACCGCCGGACCTGCGCCTCGAGAGAGGCGGGCCCTGCGTGGGCTCCCGGGGGAGGATCTGCGGAGGCCCTCGCCTTGGGGGCCTCGGCATTGGCTTCTTCGGCAGGGCCTCGCGAGGCTGTTCGGGGGCACGCGCAGGGCGCCGCGCCCGGGCGGCCGCGGAGGCCCTCGCCCCGGGGTCTGCTCCGCGGGGCATCCGAGCGGCATCAAAAGGTAGCCGTAAGTCGGCCCTGTCCTCCTACAGTTGGGGTTTTCGTCGAAGAATGAAAAACAAACCAAACATTGTCCAAACATATTTCAAAAATAGTAGGGGGACTATTTTTGGAATACTTTTTGGATACTTTTTGACCTTTTGGGTGTCTTTTGGGAGTATCTTTTATTTTTCGTGGAAAATCCCACTGTATGGGGGACACGCCCGACATAAAGGCAGCCCTGGAGCTCGAGGGCCGCGCACGCACCCGCGCCTTGGTGCACGCCGAGGCCCCCCGCCCTGCCGAAGGCGTCGGCGTGGCCTCCGCGCGCCTCGTCGTCCACGACTGGGGGCCCTCGCGCGACAAAAGGCGGCCCTCGCGCGACCCTCGCGACGCCAGACTGCGTGGCCAATTGGTCCGAAGACCAAACCAGCGCAAGCGAGCGCAAGCAAGGAGGAGGAGGAGGAGGAGGAGGAGGAGGAGGAGGAGATGATGAGGGAGGAGGGGGTAGGGCGGAGGAGGGGGAGGAGGATGAGGATAAGAGTAGAGGAGGAGGAGGAGGAGGAGGATTAGGAGTAGGAGGAAGGAGGAGAGAGAGGAGGAGGAGGGAGAGGGTGGAGGGAGGAGGGAGGAGGATGGGGAGGAGGGAGGAGGGAGGAGGGAGGAGGGGGAAGGGAGGGGGGGGATTATGGACGAGTATGAGGATTGAGGCAGGAGAGTTAGGAATGGAGGAGGAGGAGGAGGAATCAATCCCAAGGTGGGGGCCCAGGCGGGGCCCCGGGCAGCGCCAGGGGCATGCGCGGGGAGAGGCTTTCGCGCGCGCTCGGCGGGCTGCCGGGGCCCTCGGCCTGTGCGGGCCGCAGGGCGGCCTCGGCACGGCAGGGAGCGCCCGTCGGCGTCGTGGCGCCAGCGTCGCAGCGCGGATCTCGCACCGGAGGGCAGTGCCCCTCCTTGTCCTCCTCCTCCTCCTCCTCCTCCTGCTCCTCCTCCTCCTCCTGCTCTCCTCCTCCTCCTGCTCCTCATCACTCCTCCTCATCCTGCTCCCCCTCCCACTTCCACCCTCCTCCTCCTCCTGCTCCTCCTCCTCCTCCTCCTCCTCCTCCTCCTGCTCCTCCTCCTCCTCCCAGGTTGTCCTGGAGAGTTTTTCGCTCTGGATTTCGGAGCGAGCGTCGTGCGGGCTTTTGTGCTCGGCCAGGAGTGAAGACCACCAGCAAGGCCGCGCGAAGTCCGCTGCCTTCTTCGCTCGCCGTGTCGGGGTTCTGCACTGGCAGACATCGAGGCAAAAGTCCGGTGGAGCACGTCTGCAAGGTCGGTGCGCACGTTGGATGTGGGAGACCCGCACCGTGGGGGCCTCGACATGGCCTCAGCATGGCCTGGAGCCCTTCGCGGTGGTGGATGTCGGCTCCCTCGCTCTGAGGGCTTTGGCCCGGGCGAACTGTGGCCCTGGACCGGCTGAGGGTCATGGACATGGAGCAGCCAGCCACGCGTGGTGGATGGATAGGCCCTCGCCCTGAGAGCATCTACATGGCCCCGACATCCTCGAAGACGGTCGTCACGTCCGCTAGACGTCGAGGCACTCGCTCTGAATATCCCGATGTAGCCTCGGCGTTGCTCTGGCATCGCGCGGAGGCCATATCCAGACAGGCTCATCACAGCAGTACCCTAGCATTCACCTGGAGACACGCCCGAACCACATCCCCGTGGCCTCTACATGGGTTTCGACACGGCTGACACTTTCCAGGTGTAGATGCATGTAGGTGTAGGTGACGGGCTGTCTGTATGTACGCTGAGGCCTTCTGGCGGGTTCCAGATGGCGACGGTGCAGTAGCATGCTGATGAAAATGTAGGACGTGGACGGGGAAGCAGGCGTGGTAGTGCAGCAGCTCTTGATCGGGATTGCTGCTGCTGCACGGGACAGAACGAGCCGGAGATCGACGAGGAGAGCGGCGGGAGGGGCACGGAAACATGCTGGGGGAGGGCGCAGCTCGCAGCCATACGGCCCCGTCCGTCGCCATGTCCGAAGGCCCTGCTCGGCTACCGAGTGGCCTTCGGCCCATCCCGCCATCGTGCTCGGGTTGTGGGTTGGGTTTCTCAGGGGTGCTTCTTGGGGTCTCTTCGGAGCGCTCTCGGGAACCTCTTGGGGGCAGTCTTGGTGCCTCTTGGAAGACTCTTGGGGGCCTCTTGGGGGCCTCGTGGGGGCCTCGTGGGGGCCTTTGGGGGCCTCTTGGGGCCTCTTGGGGGGCTCTTGGGGCCTCCTGGGCGCCCCTCGGGGCCGCGGGTTCGAAATGTCCGTTCGGGTCCCCCCCATCTGGGTCCCCTCTTGGGGCCGTCAATTCGGCCTCTTGGGCCGTCTTGGGCGCCTCTTGGGCCGTCCTGGGACCCTCTTGGGCCGTTCTGGGGCCCTCTTGGAGGCCTCTTAGGCCGTCGTGGGGCGATCTTGGGGGTCTCTAAGCCCCCTTGGAGCGTGGGGAAGCCGAAAAGGCGAGAACGCCAAAAACTTTCAACAACCTGAGGAAAATCAATGGTTGGGCCTATCGGGACATAACGGGACTCTCTTGGGAGTCCTCTTGGAGGCGTCTTGGAGCGTTTTGGAGGCCTCTTGGGCCGTCTGGGGGCCATCTTGAGCGTCTTGGAGCGACAGTTCGGCGACTCGGGGCCCCCTTGGACCGTGCTCGAGGCCTCTTGGGGGCCTCTTGGCCCGTCTTGGGGCCGTCTTGGGCCCGGAAAAGTCATGCGACCAGACGCGAGAAGACGCGGCAAGTCCAGGGGCACCAGCGAACAAGGACGAGGCCAC